ACATAGACGGGACCAAGAGTTAGACGACCAAATGGGACAATTTGTGGGGTGATAGAGCCATACTGAGTGATAGACAAAGGTTGTCCAGCAGCCGTGTAGATAGGGAAAAGAGAATAGGAAGTGAAGACAGAAGATAAGAGGGAGGCATTACGAGTCATATGAAAGGAATAACAAGAGTCAAAAATCCAGAGATCATTCATACGAGAGACCGAAGAGTTGGCTGAAAAACCAGCAAAACGCATATCAGAGAGTTGTGCAATAGATGTATAGGCTCTATACTGAAGAGCATCAATTTGATGGCGAATATTAGAGAGTTGTGCAGTAGATTGAGAGGTGGTATGCTAAAGAGCCGCAATTTGACGACTAATATTTATAATAGCTTGAAGAGCCTCAATTTGATGGCGAATATCAGAGAGTTTTGCAGCAGATGAAGAATTTGATGGCAAAGACTACAAGCTCCCTCTTCAATGTTTCAAAACCAGGCTCATGGTCACCTCCTCCCTCAAATGTTGTTAATTAACGTCAATGCCGACCCAGCTTTTCATTTTGATCGTTCTCTAGTATAGGGATTATTACCTGAAATCATCTTGATATCCACCTCCTATACCATAATGCTTAGCAAATGCCCTTCTCTTAGGTCTCCAAATTGCCCTCTCAAATGACTGGATTGATATGATTCTTGAATTTGATTACTTGGACTTGGTGCTCATGCTTCATGGTGCCATCGCCTCGCAATCCGTCTCAAATACTCTTGGTGATTTAGTGGTCTTTTTTCAAGATCCTCATGTGACAGTCACGTTTCCCTCTTGGGCAACATCTGCTCTCGCTACCTGACTCAATTTACTCGCAGATATAAATTGGGGGTTGAGTGAAATTTAGATTTTAATTTTAACCTAATTCTTGGCGATGAGGACATTTTATATGGACCAAACAAGTTTTTCTGGGGACCCTTGTCTGGTAGAAGAGTTGTCTGTACTTAATTAAAAGCCAATGTCACATTTTAAAAAAAATAACCCAAATCTTGGTTCTTTAGATATGCGTACGTCGACATGGGCATTATAATGCATGCGGTTCAAAGAAAAAATAATTCTCCTAGTCTTCTGATTGGTGCGAGCATGTGAAGCTTCACAGTCCAGCCATTGAATAATCATGGCAGATAGGATTGATTGGTTAGCCATTTTCGTCTAAATTAAATAATGAAATTGAGCATTCAACTCCTTGTGTAGGATTTTGTCGTTTACCGAGGGGGATGGTTGAAGCATATTCCTATGTAATTATATGGTCAACTTGACATTCAAATAGATTTGATTGTAAATATGAGATGGTAGATCTTTTGGTCAATCTAAATGAAAATAGCCTACTGCAACTTGCTCACAATTAGAAAGGAAATTGCTAAAAAAAATATACAAACTCGCCAAGTTGTGATGGGAACTTTTTAGAAGATGAATGTAATTATTGAACCCGTCTCATTATTTATAGTTCGTAGGGTCGGTAACTTAGTACTATTATCAAGTATGTTACTTTTCTAAGACTAGCTTTAACTTCACCAAGCAAAACAAGGGGCTGTTTGTTTTGAGTTTTTTGCCTCGGGGAGGGGGTGGAAAGCTGCCATTAATCCCTCCTAAATGTAATAATTTCTCTAGCATAACTTTGAGGGTTTGTTTGACAAATCCTTAAAAGTAGGATGTGTTTGGCAATCTGTTAAAAAACGGTCCAAACTAGAATCAATTTAAGAAGATCTTTTTGGCCTCCCCAAATAAAAAAGTATCTAAAACTGGGCTAGGTTCAGCCTTCACCGAGTTTTAACCATATGCCAAACAAACCCTTAGTAGTTTCAAAAGATTTGCCAAACGGAGTCTGAGAGAACAAGATTCAAACTCAAAAATCACATTTTCACTTTTAATGGAAAATAATAGATGAAGACGTAATGGTTTCACTCCGTGTACGTAGCAATCATAACCCAAGGTAAGCATGATGTGGGTGGATGTGCCTGTGGGCCATGTCACAATGATGATCCTTCTGCACAGCTTAAAAAAACCAAAATATTCAACGGAAAATGGAGAATAAAAAATCAAAGTGAAATTAAAATTTAATTAACTATTTCCGATGAAGCTAATTAAGGACAGAGGAGATGAGAGGCCGAGAGGGGCATTTGGGGAGCAGGCTGGCATCCAAAAACTTGCATAGCTCAGAGCTCTCGTCCGCATGCGTTGCTACTTTGGGATGCTCAAATCTTGCAGACCAACAGTTCTTCGGTATTCAGCGGAGATTTGTGGGAGCCAGCATTTTTTTGTTTTGAACCTGCATAATTATACGGCGGCCAGGATTCCACTTCCCATGTGCTACAGTGTCTGATGCGATGTCCCATAGCTTGTGTCAAACAGAGCTCATGTGGATGAGAAGGGTGCAAACTTTAGCAGACTTTTGTATCCGTGAAAAGTGTAGACCGCAGTTGCTATTTCTTTTGTTTGTTTGTTGGAAAGATTGCTTCTAGGCCCCAAAATTTAAGTTTTAATGTGCCACAGCTCCTCATATTTTTTTAATGTGCTGCAGCTTTAAAAAAAAAAAAAAAACTGTGTCTATGGCCCTCCATCATGATTCGAGCTCATGATTAGACATGTCAGCTCCTAAAATCCCAATTTTACCCTTTCTCTTTCTCATGTCAGCTCATCCCAGCTCATGTTAACTGTTATAGATAAATGTTAACTGTTATAATTTCATAAATATATTTTGAGCTCAATGTGTGAACTGTAATAGTTAACATGTTATTTATAATAGTTAACATGTTATTTATAATAGTTAACATGAGACGCAAAGTACCTCGGGACGGCGCCGGCGACGAAGCGGGGGAGGGAGGTGGGGGAGGGGGACCAGAGGAGGAGGAGGGAGGTGTAGGGGGGAGGGTAAAATCGGGATTTTGGAGGAG